AAAATGTATTATACTCCTCCCTTCTTCATTGTATTGCTTTATTGATTTAGCAGTACTGGAGATTTAAACCACATATTTGCACTAAGGTTCATCACCAGCCCATTATTTTAACTTTTTAAGATAAGGTCTCGCTGAGTTGCTGTGTTGCCCAGGCTGGATTCAAACTTATGATCCTCCTACCTCAGCCTTTCAGAGTGATGAGATCACTGTGCCCAATAGCCTCATATTTTTAATTTGTTAGTGAGAAAACTAAAGATTGGAGGGTAGCCAGAGCCTTGAGGCCAGGGCTTCCATTGTGTATTCCATCTACTTCATTGTACAGTATACCTGTTGTCTTTTTATCTGTGTACATCACATGAAAAAAGATTCAAAAACACTTCTGAAGGTAGAAGTTTTATGGTACATCTGTGAAACTGACACCTGATTAACCCAAGTGCTGGGTTTACCTTCTGAACAAGTTAGTATATAATTTTATGTTCTATAGTAATGCTGCACTAAAAGTAAAATTTCTTATTCTGAATTGAAGCAGATTTATTTATTCTTGTTTCTCTTGCCAATTAATGACTGTACTTGTACTTTTCAGTGTGGTCCTCTTTGATATCTTCGTCAATATTCTTACCCATAATCTTGCGGAACCAGCATATGAAGCTGATGTGGCACAGCTGGAATATAAACTAGTAGCTGGAGAGCATGGTTTAATTGTTCGAGTAAAAGGGTTCAACCACAAACTACCTGTAAGTACATAGATTCTTTTCCTCATAGCTTTAAGATACTGTGTTTATATTTGCTTACCCTTTATCACCAGCAAATACAGTCTTATGCACAAGGTGCTATATATTTTATTAATTATTGGCAGTTGTATAAATCTGAACAGTTGTTGAACAGGCAAGTTGTTTAATGAGAATATCTCTGTGTGAGTTTTGTCTCTGAAGTTTTTGAGCCTTTTAGAAGTAGGGCTTATAACTTCTCAATAGTTTATATCTTGGTAAAGATTATGTTCTAGTGTCACTTTGTCAAAAACTTAATAAGCTGAGAAAAAAATAATACGTGATATTTTCTGACAGAGTGAAGATCATTAAATACCAAGTAAAGCTGGGTGTGATGTGGGGCACATCAGTAATCCTAGCACTCAGGAGGCTGAGCTAGGAGGATTGCCATGAGTTCGAAGTCACCCTGGGGTACATAGTCAGTTCAAGGCTAGTCTGAAATGCATGGTGAGATGCTGTCTCAAAACAAACAAATTATAAATAAACAAGTAAAATAATATTATTACCCAACAGATTTTATAGCTAGACTTCTTGGATAGAATGTATATTGTATGAAGGTTTAGGGAAATGTATTTATACAAGAAAAACTGTAGAGGAAAGAACCTCTCAGAAATTAGATTTGTGTTAGGACCTGAGAGCCTCCATCTTGGCAAAATATAGTGCTGTTTATGGCCTTGCCCCTCAGTCTTCCTGGTCTTAGAGTTATCATGGAGTGCTTTACTTTTGTTCACCTTCAAAAGTGTAATATTGTGTAGTTTATAATGTGAACTGAATAAAGCCTAACACAGTGGTTGTTTTTTTTTTTTTTTTTTTTTTTTTTTTTTTTTTTTTGGCGGAACCAGGGATTGAACTCAGGCCCTTGTGCTTGCCAGGGAAGCGCTTATTCCACTGAGCCATCTCCCCGGCCCAGTGGTTGCCATTTGGAAAGTATGTTTGGGAATTACCTGGAACAGTTTTTAAAAATAAAAACCATAGCAAAGCATTTCTTGTTTTTTATTTTATGAAATTTTGTAGCCTTGATATTAAAAAATGAAATAGAACATGTGCATTTATTATGGAAAACTAGAGACTCATTTTACATACAGAATACAGATGCAGATGTAAAAAGTAAGCCCAACAATATAGCAAGGAATTATTCGCTATAGCCAAGTACTACGCTATTCAGAATTGGGAGGTTTATGAACATATAACATGAATCAAAAGAGAACCACTATATGAGTATAGTGATAAATGTCAACAAGTCAGTAAATTCACATTGTTTTTAGTAAATAGGAGTGGGGGGAATTACAAAATCAGTGAAAAAAACAGGAATGTTATATTAAATGCTGAACAACTGAGCATTAAATTAGGAACAATTCAAGAATAACCCAGGAGCACTATATTATTCAACATTGTTTTAGAGGTTTTGTCTACTGCAGTAAAATGAAAAAATTAATAAAAACTATTGGAACATAAAAATATTTTTATCTGTATGTGATATGATTGTATTCCTAGAAAATCTAAAAGCTACTAAAATTATTACTAAATCACTAATTAGTAAAATTCAATGAAATTGGCATAGTTAGTGGCTTTTTTCCCTAGAGTAGCAATAACCATTTTTTAATGAGTGGAAACAAATATTCCATTTACAATATTGAGAAAAACAGTAAAATATTTAGAAATAAATAGGGAAAATATAGGATCTATCTAAAGAAAACTAAATCTTACTTTAATAAAGACTTTAGGGGGCCGAGGAGATGGCTCAGTAGAGTAAGGGCTTCCCTGGCAAGCGCAAGGGCCTTAGTTCAATCCCTGGTTCCGCAAAAAAAAAAAAAGACTTTGGGAGACTCATGTTTTTGGATAAGAAAACTTGAAATAGAATTGTTACTTTCAAAATTAGTATATAATGCCCTTCCAATTAAAGTCCCATTTTGGGGTGGTGGGATTGCGGTATAAAATTATTTTTAAGTTTATTTGGGAAAAAAATTGAAAATACTCAAGAAAAGAATAAAAAATAAAGTATCACTGCCCATTTGACAAATAACTGAGGTTTTATAAATTTATTTTTTATTGAGGACTGGAGATTCTTTTCCTCATGCATACTTCTTTTATTACCTCCTACAAGACCTAGTAGCCTTCTGTGCTTTTGGTAAAAACCAAGACGAAGGGCTAAGGAGATAGCTCTGTGGTCTGAGCACGTGCCTGGCAAGTGCAAGGACCTGAGTTTGAACCCCAGTACCACATGCTGTGCAGGCCCTGGAACTTCGGAGTTCGTGCTGTGCCGGCCCAGAACTGGCTGTGGGGGTGCATGCCTATAATCCCAGCACTGGGGGAGCTGACACAGGATGACCACTATGAGTCTACAATGCATAGTGAGACCCTGTATCCAATAAATAAAACAACAAAAAAGTAAAAAAAAAAAAAAAAAGACCAAAAAGAAACCTTTTCTGCCTGAGCTCTCAGAGGAATTTATGCTTTGCTGCTTACAGTGCTTCTTTTTTTCCTTTCAGCTACTGTTTCAGCTCATTATTGACTACCTAGCTGAGTTTGCTTCTACCCCAGCAGTCTTTGCCATGATAACTGAGCAGCTGAAGAAGACCTACTTTAACATCCTCATCAAGCCTGAGACTCTGGCCAAGTGGGTGTATATAGGATCAGTTTATATTAGGAGGGCCTGAAACTATTTGACTTTCTGGGAGAGATAGCAAAGGTAAAGCTAGAGTACCAGTGCCCATTTTAGACATGTTGGAATTGTGCTGTAGTTTAAGGTCTCTAAATCCAACCTCAGTAAGTATTTGTGGATAAGACTAAAAACCGCCTAGAATATTTGATTAGAGGCTGAAAATGAAGAAGGGTCTTTCTGTAATCTTTGTGAATAAACAGGTAAATAATTTACAGTTTATTTCATTGTAAGTAAATAGTTAAAACATGCCTAAGTATAGACCAAAATTGTGTATTGGTGATTTCATTGTTGTCAGGTATAGTGAGAACTGGCTTAAACTGTTTAGCATATCACTTACCGGGAATCCATAACTGCTTAGAGTTCGACTAATGTCCAGAAGAGTGGAAGAAGGCAGCTGCATGGCCTGCATGCTAATACTAGACCCTCTGCTAATAGGCAGCCTCCCTCCTTGAACCTTCTGTCAGTTTATTCTTTTAGTCCAGGACTAATTGTAGGGGCCAGGGAGATAGCGCAGTAGGGTAAGTGCTTCCCTGGCAAGCACAAGGGCCTGAGTTCAATCCCCACTTCCACCAAAAAAAAAAAAAGAAAAGAAACCCAGAACTAATTGTAGCCTATATCATTGCATGAGTTGGCAAGTGTACCCTTTGGAGTATCCTCTGTCAGGACGTGGAGCCTTTCGGAAGAGCAGGACAGAACCTTGTGTGCACATGGCTCACAGTCTTGTTCTTGACTCCCTTGCTGAGCATCTATAATAAATAGTGAACAAATGGCACAATCTCCACAGAGGACCTGCTTTGACACATTTACAGTGAAACCATAAACTACCAGAACTAGAAAGCAGAAGAAGGCCTGTTAGGCATGTAATAATTAATAACCTGATCACAAAATTATAAAAGCTAATAATTGAATATAAGTTGGAGAGGATGTTGTCTGCCACTGTTGATATTGGAGATGAGTAACTCTTGAATAACCCTGTGCATTCCATAACTCCTAAATGTTGCTTTGTTTATAAAAATAGTACCTTATTAAATACTGTCTTATTAAAATAACTTATGAAATTTTACTTTATGAAAATGGTACAATAACCATACATCTATTTATTGAAAATTTATACTTTCACTCTGTTCAAAGAACTTTATAACTCTTAATTTGCACCAAATTTGCAACTTGCTATTTGGTTTGTATTATTACTTCCCTTGTTTCACAGATGAAGAAAGTCATATGACTTGCCAAGTTCAGTCAGCTTATTAGGTGTGGGTTGGAGGGCAGCTTGGAGGTAAGGCTGAAGTTAGGCTGTTGTAGACTACATTGTAGCATTATCAGAGCCCAATAATAGTAGACTCAATAGTGGACTCTTCTGCTTATTTGTGAGATTTCAAAAGCATTAGCAGTTTTAAATTGGTGCGTGACAGGATAAACTGGACTTATCTAGCAACCTCTGTGAAATATTTTACTTTGCAACTCAGAACCAGGTAAATACATTATTGTACTGGGAGTAAGACTATTTAAAAGTTTGTGTATGCAATTTTAAATTCTTTTTATGGTTATGACATTGTTTGCCCTTAGGTTGTGATAGAAATTCTTTCTTTAAAAACACATCTATATAAATTTGACCAAATATTTTTTTACTCTTGTGATCCAATTTTGCAACAAAACATTGGTGTTTCCTCCCCCCGTCTTTTATAAAGAGATGTGCGACTTTTAATCCTGGAATATGCCCGTTGGTCTATGATTGACAAGTACCAGGCTTTGATGGATGGTCTTTCCCTTGAGTCTCTGCTGAGCTTCGTCAAAGAGTTCAAATCCCAGCTGTTTGTTGAGGGCCTGGTACAAGGCAATGTCACAAGCACGGTAAGTTACTGTTCCTCGCTGGGCCAGAATGCAGTTGTAGACTGTGGGATTGCATTAATTCTTTGCTAAAAGGGAAGCTCTATAGTTTTGAGCAGCTCACACGATCATATTCTGATCAGTAGGGATCCTGGCCTCTCTGATGCTCTATGAGCAGCAATTTTCTTCTTTGAAGATCGGTTTTTATGACTTTGAGTGCAATGCGTATATAGACTTTATTACATTTGTTGAAGATTATGAAACCATAAAAATAGTTTAAGAAGACATAGGGGCCAGCCAAATAGCTCAGTGGACTAAAGTGCCTGCTTATGCAGAGTGCAGCGGCTGGGGTTCTATCCTGTGTGCCATGCCAGCCGCACCCTTGGTGCACACTGAAACAGTGAGACAGCGTGGTGGCACGTGCCTGTAATCTGAGCACTTGGAAGGCTGAAAACAGGAGAATCACTACAAGTCTGATCTGTGTAGTGAGACCCTGTAGCAAATACATTAAAAAACAAAAAAAGAAGACATTACAGTGAAAGGAAAGAGCTAGGTATGGTGGCCCATGCCTGTAATCCCAGCTACTTAGGAAGCTGAGGCAGGGGGATTTCAAATTTGAGGCTAGGATGGCCAACTTAGCCCTTGTCTCAAAATAAAAATGGCTGATGAAGTAGCTCAGTTGTAGAAGGCTCTTGAATTCAATCCAAAAAACAAAAAGGTAGAGTAGGAAGAGGGGAAGGGGAAGGGATGTGTACATTTATAGCCAGTGCCTGTATGTCAGCTTTCCTTAAGCTCCAGAGCTGAGACTTTATCTTGTAGTACTTGGAAAACCCTTGAGGGATTTAAGATCTGTGGTGAAGCAATGTATGGAGAGTTCATTATGAGGCTGTTATAACAGTTGAAGTGAAATATGATTCCACTCATACAAGGTATCTAAAGTAGTCAGCTTCGTAGGAACAGTACAATAGTGGGTTTGAGGAGGTGGGTGAGGAAGAGGGCAGTTGTTTACTGTATATAAATGTGGATTTTACAAGATGAAAAAGCTGTGGAAAGCTATTTCATAGCAGTGTGAATATAGTTCACAGTGAGCTGTGTACTTGAAGAAAATAGTCAAAGTGATAACCCTTAAATAAAAAATGATGAAGCTTGAGGTTAGGCCAAATAAACAGAAAAAAAGTGCTAGGAAATTATGGTCACTCTTGAAACTGTATCTGCTGTCCTGTCCTTCCTGCCCGTCTTTATCTCCCAAATCCAAAAGCCAGCCTTAGCTGCTTCTTTTTGCTCACAGAAAGCATTTTCAGGCTCAACCCTCAGCAAAAAGAGCACAAATAGCACAGTGGGAGGACGTGGCTTTTGTTCCTAAGGACTTAGTGCTATGAGATGCCCCAGGAGAAACAGCTTCAGAGATGAGTTCACCCTTCTACCTTATATTACATAGGGACAAAAGAAGTCTGGAGAGAGGGATGAATTCACTTAGTGTGAGCACACTCTCCAGACTGTCTTTGGGCTTGTGTTTTAGATGCAGTCACAACTGCCAGAGGGCCCAGCCTTATTGAAAAAACTGATACTGAACAAGGAAGTTTGATCCAGTGGGGAAAGTGTTTGGCTGTACAATAAGCAGAATGCCAGGGAAGCTAGCAGAGGAGTTGTTCATTTAAGTCAGTTGGTATTCACTGAGCAGAATAAGTACTGAGTGGGTAGTTGATTAGCCTGATCAGTGATTGGCCCATCATTTGGGTAAGAGACTATGTCTCTTTTCTAATGCTGTCCATAGTGCTGTAATAAATTAGAAAATTGGTAATTTTCTGGCTGAAATTAATGTCAAGAGCTAATGTAATTATTGTCTTTTGCCGCATAGGAATCTATGGATTTCCTGAAATACGTTGTTGAGTAAGTATTGGTTTGAGTTTTCTCTTTGGGGAATATTCTTACCAGAAAGAGGGCCTTAAAAACAACTCACTTGTTATTAAACCCCTATTTGAAATACTATTCATAGTAGATTTCTTTGAAGTTGATGTAAACAAAGCAAATTAAGAGGGATGGTAGGAGGCCTAGCTTCTTCAGTATGTGGGCAAGGTAAGAGAATAAAAACATTGCTCCAGTACCCATGCGGATTCTCTTACAGCAAGCTGAACTTCACGCCCCTGGAGCAGGAGATGCCTGTGCAATTCCAGGTGGTGGCGCTCCCCAGCAGCCACCACTTGTGCAAAGTGAAAGCTCTGAATAAGGGGGATGCCAACTCAGAAGTCACTGTGTACTACCAGGTCAGTTGGCCCGTTGTATAGCCATCCTCAGGGGCGTCAAAACCCAGTGACCGTCAAGGCCTCACTCTGTAGCTTTGTGCTTGGGGCCATTTGTTGTCTTAAAGCACTGCATTTAAAAATTGTAGCATTTAATGAAATGGATCCTTTTTTCAATCACAAAGAGGCACTGCTTCATTAATCAGCAATCTAGAGAGGCATCTTTAAAGTATGGGTAGAAATCTGAGACAGGAGTAGCTGGCTCATATTCAGGCAGAATTCTGCATCTTAAAATGTATCTGGAGGTGCTTTCTTCCATTCTCTTCGTAGTAACAGCTTTCCAATACAAAGTACTTCCTTTAGGGCTGGGGAGATAGCTTGGTGGTCAATGGTCCTGTTTAGCAAGTACAAGGACCTGAGTTAGATCCCTGGTACTGCATGCCATGCCAGCCACAGCACCGGGCAAGGTGACACACCTGTAATCCCAGCGCTGGGGAGGCTGAGACAGGAGGATCACTATGAGTCTGAACTGTGTAAGAAGACCCTGTACCAAATAAATAAATTTTAAAATCAATTTTTTTAAAGCTTCCTTTAGGAAACCACAGGTTACATTTTGAACAGAAAATTAATACAAAAAAAATTTTTTTTAATACAAAATTTTGACTAGTTTTCTTACAGTCCTTTTATGGGCTTACAGGACATGCAGCCATTTTCATCTTCTTGTGATGAATTGGCAAATATGAGAAGTGAGTAGTTCTAGAGGATCCTGCAAAAGCCTGCCTCTGGGGATGTACTAATAACAGCCTTGTGTATGGGATTCCCACATGTTTTCATTTCATCCGGGTGAGATCCCCAAGTGTGGGTTCTGCCTCCTAGGTAGTTTTTTTTTTTTTTTTAAATCAGCTGGTTTGTGTCCTATGTGTAGCTGCATAAGTTCCTATTTTTTCTCTGTCTGAGGTATAGATAGAGCTCGCCTTAATGATTTCCAATGGTTCCTGCTGTCCTAATTAGGCCTTGAGATGCAGATTGACTTGAATTTAGAATATCCTGTGGGTTCATTCTCTGGTCCTCTAGTCAGGAGCTGGACCACTGGACCTGCTTCCATGTCTATATGCACTTCTGGGATCACAAACGGTATAGCAGGGTTCCTGTTCTCAGACCTTCAGGCTAGTGGGATGGCATATATGTAATAAGATTGTTGAAAGGTCTAAGTCTTCTGGGGAAGAAAAGAGGGGTACCACCTAAATAAGTAGTTGCCAAGAGTAACAAGTGTTAAAAAGCCTTATAAGCCACTGGCTGTTCTGTTGATTGGATCATTTCTCCTTTCAGTCAGGAACCCGGAGTCTGAGAGAATACACTCTTATGGAGCTGCTGGTGGTAAGTCTGTGGAGGAGTGCTGAGGTTTTCAGGAACCCCATATGAGGCCCAGGTTTCTTTCTGCCTGAGCACTGTGGACCTGAGTGATTAGAAGCCTGATGGGAAGTTTCTTATCCAACATGGACATAGACTGGGGCCTGGGCCATTTAGGATGAAGGCAGGGAGTCTAGACTTTGGTGGTGTGTGAAACTTGTTGGAGGGAAAGAACAGAAGTTTCTTTTCTGGGAAGAGGGCTGATGGGTAGTATGTTGAATTGCAGATGCACATGGAAGAGCCTTGTTTTGACTTTCTTCGGACCAAGCAGACCCTTGGGTAAGTCTGCTGGCAAGGGCATTGAACTCAAATAAGGACTTCATAGGCTGAGATTTATTAGCTATCCTGACTGAGTTGTTTCTCTGCACTCTGCTCCGTCTGTGGTTTAGAATAGCTATTTATTATACTTTGCATCTTAGAGTATGATTTGGCTTCCAGTCTGGTTGTGCTTCAGGGTAAGAAAACAAGTTAACTTGTGGTTCATAATTCAGCAGAGTTAAAGCGCCTGCAAGCGGGTGCAGGGGCCAGGGGTTCCATCCCTAGGCCTGTTGTGCTGGCCCCACCCCCGGGGTATGCTGAGATGGCGATTCAGCCTGGGCATGGTGGCGTATGCCTGTAATCCCAGCACTTGGGAGGCTGTAAACAGGCGGATGGCTGAGTCCGATCTAGTAGTGAGACCCTGAACACCCTACGCTGTAGACCCTTCCCTAAAATACAAAAATAAATAAAAATTTTAAAAAAATTCAGCAGAGGGGCAGGTACCTTTACCTGAGAATGAAGTAGTTGCACATATATTTGTGGTTCTTTTAGGACCTCCAGATCAAGGAAGGGTTAGGGCAGGAACTTGGTGGCCCAGTGTGTCTAGTGTTGCCTGAGGGCAAGAGCCCAGGCAGCTCTGTAAACTCTGACTTTTCACTCTGGTTGTAGGTACCATGTCTACCCAACTTGCAGGAACACATCTGGGATTCTGGGATTTTCTGTCACTGTGGGGACTCAGGCAACCAAATACAGGTGAGTAGAGTGAGTGGATGGGCCCGACCTGTGGTAGACATGGAGTAGGGCCTACAGGTGCTTCCTTAAGCCCTAGGTCTACTTTGTACAATTGCTTGGGGCAGGTACAGGGGCAGGGGTATTAAGGTGGCCTGATTCAGGACTGAACAAAGCTTCTACTGGATTCACAGAACTTGTTTCAAGTTCCTGAGGTTACAGCAGGGGTTGCCAATGTTTTAACACTTCAGAGAGATCCAAAGATGAGAGGAAAGGCTACCTGACATGGCATTCATGCCGGAACCAAGGTTTAAGGCCTCAATGGTTCTTGCCACGGAGTTGCCACACATGGCTCTTGACTGCTTCAGCTTAAGGACACCAGGAAATTAGGCTGCAGGTGGGCAGTGGGAGGCCCTTCCCTTCCCCATCCTTGTTCCCTCAGCTTAGGGTAGTGAGGCCTTACTAAACACTCATTCCTTTTGAGACCAGAGCTCTGATTACTTTTCATTGAAGATGTTTTGTTTCAGCTCTGAGACTGTTGAAAAGAAAATAGAAGAGTTTCTTTCCAGCTTTGAGGAGAAGATTGAGAACCTCACTGAAGATGCATTCAATACCCAGGTAACTGCTGACCTGGCCTTTCACCTACGTAAACTTTGAAGACACCAGACTTTAGTCCATTTGTGGTACTGGCTCTACCTTACTTGTACTCTCTGTAGCTCTACCTTAATCTGTGTGTAGTGTCTTCTGCTGTCCTCCCTGGTGATCATGCTGGCAGGACCATCACAAGCCAGGCTGGACAGCACCCAGTTGGTCTGTGGGGAACAGTAGTGCTGTACCTAAGCAAGGCTGTCTGGTGCAAACAGGTTACAGCTCTCATCAAGCTCAAAGAGTGCGAAGACACGCACCTTGGGGAGGAGGTGGACAGAAACTGGAATGAAGTGGTGACTCAGCAGTACCTCTTTGACCGCCTTGCCCATGAGGTAATTTCCAGAACAAGATAGCCCTGATGAACTAGTGAGGATTCCTGACTGCACATGTCTCAGTTCCAAACAAGTACTATATGCAAGAGAACCCCGGGACACCCATCTTGGCTTGGTTATTAGCCCATTTTCCAACATCTCTCTAGCACCTTAAGTGACTCTAGATAGGGTGCTAACCTCTACCCTTCCATCACCAATATAGAGCAGCACAATTTTTGTGTTTTGTACTGTATGATATTGAGGCTTATCACGACTTTATGAAGAGGGTTTCTGCTATAGAAAGTCAGGAACTCTTGGGTCTTCAACAGGGAGTGCCTTCTTCAGATTCAGTGCTTCCGAGTGCAAGTAATTTGATAGCTTCTAGCTCAAAACAAAATTTGTGGGATTCAGTACTGCTCCAATATGTATAACACTCTGTGGTGTGTTACCAAGGAACATCAATTTAAACAGAATGAAGACAGAGTTCACCTGTCTCAGTAGTTGCTTTATTTTTTAAGCCTAAGTATGCAGTTACCATGTAAATAAGATGTGACATTAGAGACCTGTTTCTGGCTTAGGGAAAGCTGTTCAGCTGTAATTACAGCACCTACTAACCTATCAGATCTGCTAAGTTAGGTCACTGCCTTGAAACTTGGAGAATAAAGATGAAATGCTCAGATGCTAGCCAAGACCAAGGAAGTCTGCCTGGGGGCTAGATTTCAAAGCTATTTTCCTTCAACACACTGCTTTCCTACCTTTCCTTCCTCTGTAAGATTGAAGCACTGAAGTCATTCTCGAAGTCAGACCTAGTCACCTGGTTCAAGGCTCATAGAGGACCTGGAAGTAAAATGCTTAGTGTCCATGTGAGTATGGTGAACTACACTGCCATTTCTTGCCTTCTGGGTCATCACTTACTGATTTAGGGTAGACACTAAAGTCTTTGCTCAAACCTCAGCATGGTTCTCAACTCTTACTGTTGGCCTCTCAGGTTGTCGGCTATGGGAAGCATGAGCCAGAAGAGGAGGGCACCCCTTCTGCTGTGGATCCAAACTCTTCCTGTGACGTGATGCAGCTGACCTACCTGCTGCCCTCTCCTCTGCTGGCAAATTCTACCATCCCCATCACTGATATCAGGGCTTTCACATCAACACTCAGCCTTTTCCCCTACCATAAAATAGTCAAATAAACTTCAGTCTCGGCCTGAAGCAATGTCTATTTAAAGATGTGTTTGTATTTTATGGAATTACACTACTACTGCCTTAAGGCTTTTATTGAATTTTTGCACTTACATCATAGAACTCAGTTTATCCTATCGAGACTAACAAACCCAGGGGCATTGTAGCTGGCAAAGAAATGACCTAAGTGGGCAGAGTGTGGCTAACTGCCCAAGGCAGCAGTTTGGGAAACCCTAGCCTGTGTGATCTCAGATGTACACTCCAGTTCATGAGAGGCCCTGTAACCAATTTGTTATTAGTCTCTTAAGTGCTAATACCCATTTTCGTTTTACTGTATTTTCCTTAGAATGAGCCATCTGCTGTGGTGGGATTTATATATTGTTTTGATGTGGATGGAGTGAGGATCTAAAAATATATACTCTTCCTAAGTCCTATAAGGGGCAATAAAATATTTTTGGATGAAACACTGGCATTCTTACATGTGCAATATAAAGTGGTAGATGAGGAAAAGGCTGGACCTTCCATATTTTAAATGTCTTTATGAAAAGATAACTGTATTCAGGTTGCCAAATAACTGTCTTCAAACTGTTACCATAAACATAATAAAAGAAGCACATTTTTTAAAAAGGTTGGAAAAAATTACTTTATGAAGCCTTAAGAATAATTAAACTGTAATCCAGGTTTAGATAAATTTAATTGTTCAATTCTAAAATAGATGAAATCATGAAATTTCCTAACACTTGATTTTTAATACATTGCACTAATTTTCTAAAACTCTGAAGAACCAGTTATTTACAGGTGAATATTTATGAAAAACCTGCCATCAAGGTATAGCTGTGTGCATATATATAGAACCCAAGATACATGAAGTAGGAAACACCTTGTATGTCGTATCTTAAAAGCAGAACTAGAGTGCGGAGTATGAGATTTGGGTTTATAAATGCTTTTCAAAGCATGGGGTTTGGAAAAGGAGCAGATATCTTGTTTCAAGACCTGAAATTTTTCTCAGGACTGAAGTCAAAATTGTTAACTGCCACAGAAGAAAACAGAAGCTTCTCCTGCTTTAATTGTTCATCTGCATCATGAAGTCCAGTATCCCTGAGATAGGAACCACTGCAGTGAGAAGGGAGTGATAGGTTCTCCCAGAGGAAGATTGATTGTTGCTTCATGTCGCTACCCTGGTCATCAGGAGTACACTTGGCATTTTCCAACCTAATGCTTCACAGCACCAAGACGTTTTAGTAAAGGCTCATCATAGACCCAGCATTCCCCATCTTCATGGAATAACTGGAAGAGAGAATTCAGTTATATGCTTGCTTTCCATTTCTAAACATTACCATCCATCTCCCCGACCCCACACCCTCTCCCTGTGAAATGAGTTTCAGGTAGGAACCGGAGAATACATCCACAAACCATGCCTGGCATCACTTCAGCATTCACTGCAACTGCTCAAGCTATGGCCGAGTGGTGATCCACACACAGGGCCTTACCCTTGTCTCCCACTGAATTTCCTTTTCCTTCCTTTCTCGGGCTTCTGCTCTTTGCCTTTCTTCAAGTCTGTGCTTTGCTTCAGTTGCTGCATCAATGTCTCTGATTTTCAAATTGAAAGTGACGTCCTTCCAAAGGCTAAAGAAAAGAGATCAAGAGAAGCTGGCACTTGGAATGAAAGCCCAGAGGCATCTCTGAACACAGCATATAAACAGTCAAATCACAGGCTTTTCACGCTGTGGTGTGCACTTTAAACCTGGAGCTGGTAATAGGGCACTGCAGGAATGAAGAACACAGAAATGGAAGGAAATGAAAGACAGGCAAGTTGCTATGAGATAAAGACAAAAGGTCCTCAACTCCCACTGGTCTTTCCACCAAGACCTGGGCCTCCACTTCTGGAAGCAGCTCTCACCTATGCAACTACGGGGGAGGCTTTCCTTCAATAGTGCCCAAGGGTCCTTCACTAAAGGGTAAACAGGGTTAGCTCAGAGGAGCTGAGAAGTTCCACCTCAGAAAAACTCCCTTACACTTAAAATGTGATTTTTGGGGGGGGCCATGAAATGCAGGCTGGCCTTGAATTCACAATGCAGCCCAAGCTGGCCTCAGGCTTCTGACAATTCTGCCTCAACCTCCCAAGTGCTGAGATTACACCATGGCCTTAGGGCTATTAGTGTGATCTTGAGTCAAGGGGCCATTTCATTCCAGAAAGAGACAGAGACCAAACTTAGCTGTTACAAAACCAGTGCTGCTGCTGACAGGAACCCAGGCAATGGAGCCTGGTGTGCCCTGCTTCACTGCTATTCCATCACCCAAACTCAGCAGGCAGCAGCTCTTACCAGCGGGACTCATACTCGTTCTGATCTTCCAACTTCCTCACTTTCTTCTTGATTATAGGCAACTTCTTAGTATCTACAAAGACTGTATTTTCCTAGAAAACAAGAAATAGAAGGCTTTTTTCAAATTGTTACCAAAGTCATCTCTTAGGAGACTTTAATTAACAGATTATTCTCATATATGTTAATGATACAGAGAACAAGTTTCATATGCAGCCTTAAACCTAAAATACAGTTTTATTGCTTAAAAGTCCAGAGGCTCAGATAGCTACATGCTACGTGCTAGCAGATATGGCCACTTGAGCTACACCCACATAATTAATTCTCACTGCTGCCAGGGCTTCTGACACTGCAAATTCTCCAAACACCCAGTTCATCAACTCTTCTGTTACACCTACTACCTTCCTGGCTTAATGCAAACAGTCCAGGGGTGCAGTGTGCAAGTTCCTGGGTGGCAGGGCTGACCCCATTTCTGTCTAGGGCCCAACAGTATTATTAAACTTAGTGTATACAAATACACATACACAAATTTACTTAACACTTCACTTTACAAATGTACCCCACATTCTGATACTATGCCTAGTATTTCCTGGGTACATAATAAGAACTATGCACTGCTCTACATATATATTCTCAAGTGCTTTGAGAATGAAAAGTTGATCTGCTGAAAAGGGAGCTGGGGAGGAAGGCACAGGCCTTCCCTGAAGAGATGACCTTAGCACTGGTTTTCAGAGGTTCCATATGAAGCCATCAGAAGGCTACAATTCAATATAGCTTAAAACATGTGGCAAAACAGATGTTCTTACCCCTGATGCATATTTTGCATACATTATACCATTCCATTCCCCTTCAATTGAACAAAAAGACTTCTTATCATTTGGAGAACTAAACAGAAAAAGAAACAGCTGTGTTAGTCTCAAGTTGAAAATCATTCTACCAGAGATCTTGGTCAGTGAGGGCCCTGAACAGAGCGCTAATGAGCTGCACAGTGCAAGGAGTGGATGTGAGGTGGGAGAGACAGCCCTGCGCCTGGAGCTGAGGCCTGGCACTTCACTGCCCTTCCACTATTCATAGCCTAGTGGAGAGAGTGCCAGAGGTTCTGGGTACTGAGCACTGCGGTGAGCTCACTCCAGCAACCACAGGCAAAACTGCTGGTATGAGGGAGCCCTCCATCAGATGGTTTAAGCTCTCTCCTGGGCATGGGCAACAATCCACTGGGGTCCCTTCTTCAAAGCACAACAGGTCGCTACTTGACACCACAGTGGTATGTGGAAATGAGATGGAATTCAGGCAGATGGCATCATAGCAAGGCCAGATTAGGAAAGGCAAGGCGTGAACTCATTAAAACTGAAAAAGGTCAGAAATAACACGAACCGAGTAGGTGAAAGCTGCTGGGCTAGGCTGGAAACAGGAAAATGAGAATGGGATCGCAGGTCTGAAAGGTGCAGCGGTTCTCAAAGTGTAGTCTGGGGCAGGGTGGGTTCCCTCAGGATTCCCAGGACTCTGTGCTGGAGGGAGTTTAGGTCAAAACTATTTTCCTAAAATATTTAAGATACTGCTTTCCTGTTTCACTGAGCCTCAACTGTAGTGTTTTCCAGAGGCCATGTAACATATCGCCATAGGCTCAATTCAGGTAGCAAACAGAAGAATCCATCTATTACATTGGGGACTTATGACACTACACCAAATTTCTTTAGTTTTTTCAGACAGGACCCCTCTATGTAAGACAGGCTGGCTCTGAACCCACAATGATCCTGCCTCGGCCTCCTGAGTGCTGAGATTATAGGAATGAGTGACCATACAAATTCTTTAAGGAAAATTTTTATGAAAGTTATTTTTCAAAAAAGTGCTACTGCCATTTGTTAGTAAAGTACTACTTTAAAACACTGGTATTTTTAGACTAGGTGTGGTGGCACATGCTTATAATCCCACTGAGGCAGGAAGACAGCTATGAGTTCAAGGCCAGCCTCGGCTACATACAGTTTGAGGCCAGCCTAAATTGTATAGCAAGACCTTGACTCAAACAAAAAGTGGGACAGGGTTCTCAGAAAAATTTTGTTACATATAGTTGACATTAAAAAAAAAAAACAAAAAAAAACAAAACAAAAAACAAGAGCTGGCCAAATAACTCAGTGGATTAAAGCCCCTGCAAGCAGGCCCAGGGGTAGGGGGTTTGATCCCCTGGCCTGCTGTGCAGGCCCTGCCCCTGAGGCATGCTGAGACAGAGATTGAGACTGGGCGTGGTGGCGCACACCTGTAATCCCAGCACTTGGGAGGCGGTAAACAGGAGAATCACTTCGAGTTCTATCTAGTAGTGAGACCCTGAACACCCTGTAGACCCTTCCTAAAATCAAACAAAACACATGGGGGCTCTAAAGAGATCCACAGACCAAAAAGTTTAAGAACTCAGCTAATAAAGCCCTTCAGCGAATGCTCAAATCTCTTAACTCAAAGATCATACCAGGGGCTCTTTCTACTACCAACTTGTGGGGCAATCTTTCCTTGTCTTTCCCAGCCAGAAAGTCCTGCTGAGCTAGTGGTTCCTTTGCGGATTACCGCCAAGGAGCTGAGAAGTAGGCTGTTGTCTTCACTCTAAATCTGCCATCTCCATCGTCTGCCTGTGTCCTGGGACGGACAACGAGAACAATCTGTGCTGCTCTTCAAACCCTGCCCATACTGTCTAAATGTAGCTTTTTTTTTTTTTTTTTTTTAATCTT